AAGGACACAGAGCCTCGGGTTCTCTTGACAACTGCCAGCCTTGCCAAGGCCCTTTGCCATCTCCACCACAGCCTGTCCTACGCTGTCCCACAGCTGCTTGTGTTTCCCTGCAGGCTGCAGACACACAGCTCGCTTCCTCACCTTGCTCCCACCCTGCCATTTGCATCCAGTCACTGGCGTCTGTCTGCCCTCTCGCTCTGTTCCTTGAAACACAAAGGAATGGACTGATCTCATCCTCCTTCTGGGTGACCACACAGGGTCATTCAACACTTTGAATGACATTTCTTTGGCATGTCCAAGCTGCACTGTGCGGCGGTGTTTCTCTCTGCTGCTGTTTCCTACCTCCAAGGAAAGCTCCACATCTCAGAAACGACCCTTCAAGGAAGCATTCCAACCCACCAGCCTTCTTGTGGCCTTTCACCTGACCACCCAGAAGTAGCCTCCCCATCATCTCCCAAGGCTGCCAGCCTATCCCCTTCTCAGCTTCTTGGGTAGACAAGCCAAAGCTCTAGTGTCAGCTGGTGTCCCATCACGTGCTCACGCAGAAAAGACACGACAGCCAAAATATCAGCCCCCTTCCTGCAGTGAGCCTGGGTCCTTCGGCAGAGGGGATCTCGCAGTCAATGTGCCAGCCAGGTGCCTGCTGCTGGCCTTTCATGGACACTGACCTCACAGTCCCTTTCTCAGCCACGTGCCTGCTGTTGGTCAGTGACCTCCAGAGGCGTAAGTGACTTCACAGCCCCCTTCACAGCCATTGAACTCCTACGGGGTTATGATTTCTCGAGGCACAACTGACCACATTATACCATACCCGACCATCACCCTCCTTCGGGCCCAGTACCTGAACTGATAAAATTAAGTCTGTTTCATTAAATTTATCTCATAGTTTTTCTACCAACAGTTTGAGTGGAGGAATGATGTTCGGAGTAGCTGCTGTATTTATACTTGTGCATTTTCTGTCTCCACTGCTTCCTTTCTACTGTTTCTTCTTCCTCTGTGTTCTGTCTTCAGAGAACTCTCCAAGGAAAAGATTCATTGAATCACAGAGGAACACAGGCTGGAAGAGACCCCTGAACACCTTTGTAGTGGGTGTGGCTGGGATGAAGTTCACTTCCCCATGGCAGCCCACATGCTGCTGTGCTTCGGACTCGTGGCTGGAACCGTGTTGATCACACTCCGTTGTTTTGGCTATTACTGAGCAGTGCTCCCACCATATGAAGGCTGTCTCTCCAAACCCTCCCAAAGCCTGGTGGCTCAGGGTGTGCCAGTGGCTGGGATGGTACATGGATGGGACAGCTTACCTGGATTGATCAATGGTATATTCCATACTGTATGACATCATGCTGAGCAATAAAAACTGAGAGAAAGGAGGGATGGGAGGAGATAACATTTTTTATTGAGACTTTTGTCTTCCAAAGCAGCCTCTACAAGTCCTGAATCCTTGCCTGCCCCAAGGTGGCTGGGCATTTGCTGTTTGTGGGAAGTAAAGAAAAAATCTCCTTTGGTTTTGCTTTGCTTCTGTGTGTGGACTTTGCTCTTTAAATGCTTTTGTTTTCTGTTCTTTTTTTTCCTTCACATAAATCTTCCTTTATGTTAACCCATGACTTTTTTCACCTTACTTTCTCATGTCCTGTTGATGGGGCACAGTGAGAGAGTGGCTTGGTGAGCACCTGATGGTCAGCCAAGTGTAACCCACCACAGCCATCTTGCCCAACTCTCCTGCTCAAGGCAGTGTTACCTAGATGAGATTACTCAAGGGCTCCCCATACGTTGGCATCATCCACAACGGGGCTGAGAGTGCATTTCCTCCCATCATACAGACAGATACTGAAAATATTCCACAGTGGTGGTCAAGGACTAGTGACTGAGGGAGGTTACTAGTAACTGGCTGCCAGGAGCACTTTGTACCATAGATGACATTTGACTTCCATTGTTCAGCAAACTTCCCACCCACCACAACATCCACTTCTTCAGCCCAACTGTCAACACACTGGCTCTAAGGAAACTACAGGAAACGTTGCCAAAGGCCTTCCTAAAATCTGAGCACAAAACATCCCCTTCTTATCCCTTTCACAAATGTTCTGTAATACCTTGCTTGTCCTTCAAATGGCTGGAGAGGTTGGACTGAGGACCCGTCAT